CTGAATGAGATTAGTGGCAGAAGATTAATGATTGAGACAAAGCAATATAAACCATCTATAGATAAACACAGAAAACAATAACAACAACAGAAAACTAGATTAAAAAAAATGAGCAAAAAGCTGTGGAGTAACCTCAAGTGGCCTAATATTTGCATAACTGGAGTCCTCGAAAAATATTAATATCTCAACACATAATGGCCAAAAATTTTCTCAATTTTATGAAAACTATAAATTCTCAAATCCAAAAGACTTAACAAACCCCAACCAAAAGACACGTTTAGAAAACTAGTTCAAGGCACACTATAATCAAATTGCTTGAAACTAGGAATAAAAGGAAAATCTTAAAAGTAGTTTAAACTCACATACTAAATACAAAAGAATAAAAGTAAGAATGACAGCAGACTTCTCAAAAACAGTGAAACCAGGCAACAGTGCAATGACATCATTAAAGTACTAAAGGAAAAAAAAACTATCAACTCAAAATTCTATAACCAGTAAAAATGAAAGTGAAACAAAGACTTCTTCAGGCATACAAAAGCCAAAATATCCATTCCCAGTGTACCTGAACTATCATAATGTTAAAGGAAGTACTTTAAGCAGATGGAGCATACCAATAATATCAAATAGAAAACAACAGAAATGGTAACTACACAGGTAAATTTAAAAGCCTTTTGTTGAGGGGCACCTATGTACTGACTCTTGGTTTCGGCTCAGGTCGTGATCTCAGAGTCATGAGATCAAGTCCCACATCAGGCTCCACGCTCAGCAGAGAGTCGGCTTAAGATTCTTTCTCCCTCTCCCACTCATGCTCTCTCTCTCTAAAATAAATAAGTCTTTAAAAAAAATAAAACATAAAAATAAAAACCTTCTGTTTAATTATTTGAACCGCTTTAAAACACAATTGAAATAAAAGGAATCCAGATTGGAAAGGGAGATGTAATACTATCTCTATTCACAGATGGCATAATCATATATATAAAAAATTATAAGAAATTCACCAAGGGTGCCTGGGTAGTTCAGTCAGTTAAGCTTCTGCCTTTGGCTCAGGTCATGATCCCAGGGTCCTGGGATTGAGCCCCACATCAGGCTCCCTGCTCAGCGGGGAGTCTGCTTCTCCCCCTCCTTCCCGCTCGTGCCCTCTCTCACTATCTCTCTCTCAAATAAATACATAAAATATTTTAAAAAAGAAAGGAAGGAAGGAAGGAAGAAAGCAAATCACCAAAAACTATTAGATTCAAATTAATAAGTGAATTTAGAAAGGTTCCAGGATACAAAACTAATAGACAAAATCAACTGTATTTCCATACACTAGCAACAAATAACTCAAAAATAAAATTAAGAAAACAATCCCATCAATAATAGCATCAAAAAGTATAAAATACCTAATCTTTAGAAATAAACTGAACAAAAAGAGTACAAGATACGTACACCTAAAACTTCAAAACATTGCTGAAAGAAATTAAAGAAGACCACGTAAATGAAAAGCTATCTCATATACTATATTCAAGGACTGGAAGAACTGATACTATTGAGAGTACTCTCCAAATTTATCTGAAGATTTACTGCAATTGCTATCAAAATTCATGCTGACCCTTGTACAGAAATTGCCAAGGTGATTCTACAATCTCTATGGAAATTCAAAGGATGCAGAATAGCCAAAATCTTAAAAAAAGAAAATCAAACTTGGAGGACTTAACATTTCCTGATTCCAAAAAATAATTCCAAATGGTAATTAGCTTGGTATTGGCATAAAAACAGAAATGTTAATCAATGGAATAGAATTGAGAGTCCACAAATAAACACTTACATTTACATGGTTAAGGGATTTTCAACAAGGGTGCCAGAACAATCAAAGGGAAAGGAATAATCTTAACAAATGATGATAGGACAAGTAGATATCCACATGCAACAGAATGAATTTGGGTCACTACATACAAATATTAAATCAAAATGGATCAAAGACTAAATGTAATACCTAAAACTATAAAACTCTTAGAAGAAAATATTGGTATAAATCTTTAAGAACTTGAATTAGGCAATGATTTTTTAGATATGACAGCAAAGCAGAGGTAACAACTGAAAAAAATTGATAAACTGGACTTCAAAATTAAAACATTCATGCTTCAAAGGACACCAATAAGAAAGTGAAAGACAATGCACAGAATGAGAGAAACTGTTTGCAGATCATATATCTTAAAAGGGACTTGAAGATGGAATGTATAAAGAACTCTTAACTTCATCAGTAAGAAGACAAATAACCCAACTGAAAAGGATCTGAATGGACATTTCTCTAAAGAACATGTAGGGGCACCTGTGTGGCTCAGTCGTTAAGCATCTGCCTTCGGCTCAGGTCCTCATCCCAGGGTCCTGGGATAGAGCCCCGCATTGGGCTCCCTGCTCAGCGGGAAGCCTGCTTCTCCCTCTCCCTCTCCCCCTGCTTGTGTTCTCTCTCGCTTGTCTCTCTCTGTCAAATAAATAAATAAAATCTTTAAAAAATTGAAATAAAATAAAATAAAGAACATATATAAATGGCCAAGAAGCACATAAAGAAATTATTATTAGTCACTAGGGAAATACAAATCAAAACCACAATGAGATACCACTTCATACTGACTAGGATGGTTACAATAAAAAGGATGGCTATAAAGTGATGGCGAGAATGTGGAGAAACTGGAATCCTCATTCATATATTGCTGGTAATATGTAAATTGGTATAGCCATTTTGGCAGTTCATCAAAGGGTTAAACAGAATTATTTACATGACCCAGCAATTCTACTTTTAGGCAAATACCCAACAGAACTGAAAACATATATCCACACAAAAACTTGTACGTGAATGTTCATAGCAACATTATTCATATAGCCAAAAAGCCTAACAACCCAAAGTCCTTCAACTGGTGAATGGATAAATATATATTCAGCCATAAAAAGTAATGAAGTAATAATACATGATACCACATAGATAAACCTTGAAAGCATTATGCTAAGTGAAAGAAGCCAGCCACAAAAGGCCACATAATATAGGATTCCATTTACATGAAATGCCCAGAAGAGACCAATCTAAAGAGACTAAAGTACATTAGTGGTTGCTAGGGGCTGAGATGAATAGAAAATGGGAAGTGACTGCTAATGCATAGGGAGTTTCTTTCTGGGGTGATGAAAATGTTCTGGAATTAGATTGTGGTGATGGATCCACAACTCTGAGAATATACAAAAAAATAATTGTACATTTTAAAAGGGTAAGTTTTATGATATGTGCATTATAGGTAAATCTGAGAAAAAAGGACAGTATTAAAGCAAAAGTAATAATGTATTGGGAGTTTACTTACAGAAGTAAAATGTATGACAATATCACGAAAGTCAAGACACAGACTGTTGAAAGGTCCTCAAAATAATAGGTAAAGTGGAAAACATAACTTAAAATAGGCTGTGATAAGTTAAAGACGTATACTGTAATTCCCAAAGCCAGTGAAATAGCCCAACAAAGAATTATAGTTAATAAGCCAATAGAATCATAAAAAAATATGGACTTCATCCAAAAGAAGGCCATTGTTCAATATAAATGCACAAACCATTTTATGAAAAAACACTTGCAATTTTGATAAGATCTTGCAAAATCAACTACCATTCATGTCCCAGTGTAAAGTGGGTACAACAGAGATCCAAGTAACAAAGTAGGCCTTTTGGGCAAGTCACAGTTAAATCCCATGGACTACTAAACATAATAATTAGTTACAAACTAGATATTGGAAATGTCCTCAAGAACGTAAACCAGCATTGAAAAACATTTTCTATAAAGGGTTCAGTAGTAAATACTTTGCCTTTCTGGACCAATAGCACTATGGTAGCAACTCTACCATTAGAACAGAAAAGCAGCAATAATATTAAGAGAATAAGCATGCTGTGTTCCAATAAAACTTTATTCACAAAACAGGCAGCAAGGAAATTGGGCCTATAGGTCATAGATTGTCAAACCCTGACTTAACCTTAACAAAAAGTAAAGTAAAATAAACCTATCAGATAAGGACATGTAGCAAAGGAATGTACAGATACTAATACAAAGGCAAAGATGAAGGAGAAATCAATGACTGGGCTATAAAGAGTCTTCATAATATTTTTAAAGTGAAGGAAATAATAATGCAGGGGAATTTTAACAAAGTTTCTTTCTTTTTTTTTTTTTTTAAAGATTTTATTTATTTATTTATTTGAGAGAGAGAGAGAGTGAGCACGACAGGGGGGAGCGGGAGAGGGAGAAGCAGACTCCCCGCTGAGCAGGGAGCCCAATGCGGGACTCGATCCGGGGACTCCAGGATCATGACCTGAGCTGAAGGCAGTCGCCCAACCAACTGAGCCACCCAGGCGCCCAACAAAGTTTCTTTCTTATATATAGAGGTTTATCTAACATCATCTAACAAATTCACAAGAACAAAAATCATAAAGCACACTTAATAAAAGAAAAAATGGTGGTCAATTTGATTTACTAACTTCACATGGATCAGGATGTAGGTCTTTTGAGACATACTAAGGTAATAAATTTTTCTTAACTAAGGCTTAAGGCAAGCCTAGACATTTTAGAGCAAAACCTCTGAGTATTCTACATACTTTATATATTTATACCATGTAAAGCATCCTAGAATCCTCTGTACCTTTTATTTTTTTTAAGGTTTTATTTATTTGACAGAGAGAGACAAGCAAGAGAGTGAACACAAGCAGGTGAGTGGGAGAGGGAAAAGCAGGCTTCCTGCTGAGCAGGGAGCCCAATGCGGGGCTCGATCCCAGGACCCTGGGATCATGACCTGAGACGAAGGCAGAAGACGCCCAATGACTGAGCCAACCAGGCACCCCTCTTCTGTACCTTTTAAGATTGCAGATTATCTAACGTTCTTTCAAAGACTCTTCTACCCGTTTTTATCGGTAATTGCTCAGCATAGAAAAATCACTTATTGGTCCGCATTTATAAAGATTGGAGAATAAGGGGGAAAAAAAGGGAAATTACTGACCTGTTCATTTACTGAATCTCCTGCACCTTTTAAAGACTCCATGGAGATTGAAGAGGCAGTAACCCTGGAAGTCTTAAGTTTAACGTCAGCTTTTGGACTTAACTTGTGTCTTGATTTGGTATTTCCTTCTGTAGAAATTCCTAAGGATTTCCATCAAACAAAATATCAAAATTATACTTTATTCTCTTAAACTCACCCCCCATGAAGCTCTTCTCTGATATACTTCTTCATGGGACTGACAGGGTCATTTTAAACCTCTTAGTAAATAATGTATCATGGAAAGATTATGTTCTGAATACATTTAAGATTCAATTGAAATATTTTTAAAAGGTGACATGAAAATTCGTAAATCATATTAAAACCAATAAATTACAACATACAATATATATCTTAATGTAGGGGAATTAAAATCTGATTTTTTCCACATAATTAGGGTACCTTCAATGGCTCAGTTTTACTACTCATTTAGTAATAACCAGTAAGCTTTAAAGAGTCTATCACATAAACCTTATATCAAGAAGTTTTCACATTCTTCTTTGAATTTAGGCTACTATTCATAATACAAAAAATAAGAATCTCTTGCTCTTTAATAGATGAATGAAGTGTTTTACAAATTCATCAAAAGCTCACTTGCCCGACCAGCCCCTAAAATAAGGCAGTATTTCAAACCTTAGTAAGGTCTAACCAAAATTTTTTTTTTAATTAGTTTCCAATGGATTGTTCTGCATATAGTTATACCTGCAAAGTGGTCCTATTCTTTTATTTTCTCCTAACACTTAAGAAGCAAAGGAAGCTTATGAAATTAATACAGAAAATCATACCTGGAACATACACTACTGATTGTTCTTCATCAGAAACTATGAAGAAGGACATGAAGGAAAATACTAGAAAAGATCATCCAATATCCAAACGCTGCCTCTATTCTGTACTTCTAATTCCTAATTTCTTTTGACCTGGGAATTTATAATAAGATTTTAAAAACAAAACTAGAAAGGAACCCAAGTGAAATAAATGCAGCAAAATTAGTAATCTTTTAACATTCATTTTTACATATTTATAACTATATGTTTTATAAAATTTTTGAAAGGCCTTGTTCCATAAAACTTTCACCCATGCTTATTCCCAAGTGAGATACCCTACCCTATAAATTCTGTTAAGTTCCTTTCATTTCCTTTCCTTTTGTAAACAAGGAGTTAAATGCCCCAGTTTGTTTATTATTGGAGAACTGGTAAGTTATTTTAGTCATGAATAAATAATTTCAAAATGAGCTTTAGCTTTGAAGAACAAACACGGTTTGAGGGCAAGTCAATCATGCAAACACAAAGGTTTTATTCTTCTGTAGTGCATTCATGAAATGTCCCAAGAAGCCCTACTATTTAACAAGTGGAGGAAATTTAACTTTTTTTTTTTTAAGAGGGGCAGGAGGAGAGAAACTCTTAAGCAGGCTCCATGCCCAGTGTGGAGCCCAAAGTGTGGTTTGATCTCACAACCCTGAGATTATGATCTGAACCAAAATCAAGAGTCTGAGGCTTAACCAACTGAGCCATCCAGCCACCCCACAAGTGGAAGAAATATAAGACAAGAAGAACTATTTAAAGGAGAAATTTAGAAAGGCTAAGATCATACCACTGGAGAGAAAACAATCCCATTTACTACTGCATCAAAAAAGAATACAATATCTAGAAATAAATTTAAACAAGGAGGTGAAAGACCTATATACACTGAAAACTTTAAGACACTGATGAAAGAAACTGAAGACACAAATAGAAAGATAGTCCATGCTTATAAATTGGAATAATTAATATTTTTAAAATGTCTATACTGATCAAAGCAATCTACAGATTCAGTGCAAACTCTATCAGAATTCCAATGCAGGGGCATCTGGGTGGCTCAGTCGGTTGGGCGTCTGCCTTAGGCTCAGGTCAAGATCCCGGAATCCCAGCATCAGTCCCGTGTCAGGCTCCCTGCTTGGCGGGGAGTCTGCTTCTCCCTCTGACCTTCACCCTCCCTGTGCTATCTCTTGCTTGCACTCTCTCTCTCTCTCTCTCTCTCTCAAATAAATAAATAAATAAAATCTTAAAAAAAAATTCCAATGTAATTTTTCACAAAAATAGAACAAACAAACCTAAAATTTGTATGGAACCACAAAAGACCCCAAATAGCCAAGGCAATCTTAAGAATAAGGTTAAAGCATCACACTTCCTAATTTCAAGCTATATTACAAAGCTATAGTAATCAAAACAGTAGGTACTGGCATAAAAGCAGACACAAAGACCTCCATGATAGCTACCCTTTTTCTGCTTTTTCTTCATTCATATCACCAATAATCATTGGACATACAACCTATTTTACTTATTCATGACCTCATCTCACTAAAATTTAAGCACCAAGTGGGTGAAGATTTTCCACTGGTTTTGTTCAATGTTTGTTATCTCCTAAAGTAAAAAAATGCCCAGCTCACAGTAAACCATCTATGAAAGAATGAAAGTGGTATTTAATTCTATGATGCACTGTCCAGCAACTCTTTGGTGTTGTTTCTCTTTATCTTGTTGGGGTTCAGAACCCATCACCCCAAGATGTGCCACTTTGGAATGTGAACTGTTTTGAGCTGAAAACAATCAAGGCCCAAAAGACTCATGAAGAAACTTTGACCTCCCACTAACTGCCTAAAAGAATTTGGATAGAGGACCTGCTCCCAGAGATAGATATCACCAAAAATAACTACAATATAATATAAATAAGAGGTGGTAGGGAGGAATTTAGCAAAGTCTCTTTGTTAAAATTCCTTTCTATGTCCCATTGTTTCTATATGGCCCAAAAAACATTTGCTTACCAAACATTTACTCCTTTTCATCTTCCTATGAATTGCTTTCCTTTCCTTGAAAGTCCCAGACCTCTACTCCCTTCTCCTTAGTTCGGAATGACAAGCATAACTCAATTTTGCTTGTCTTTGGAATCTCTCACATATATGCGGATTCCCCATATGTACCTAATTAAGTTTGATTTTTCTCCTCTTAATCTGTCTCATGTCATTTTAATTCTTAGACCAGTCAGAAGTCCCTTGAAGGATAGAGGAAAATTTTCAAACTATGGGAGCAAAACCCATTAGCTGCATCCATGCTAAGTATCTTTTCAAATATAAAAATGCTAAATAAATTGACCTTAACAAGAGTTTTAAAAAATAAGCCTAAAAATATTTGAAATTGCCTCCATCCAACCTATCCTTCCTAATCATTTGTAATCTATCTTCATCTCATCATCTGAAGAACCCAAATACTTACTTTCTTCAAATACAAAGTTTAAAAAAATATACAAACACATTTTATGGGAAAGTCAAAGAGACATAATATATACCAAATGTATATTGGACCTCTCATTGGGTTCTTTGTGCCACTTCAGTTCTACTTCGTATCTTTGGAAGTTCTTTACTAAGACAAGTACAGCAAATTATAAAGCATCCTTAATGTTGGTACCAAACTCCAAACCCCAGAATTAAAGCAGTAATTAGAAACCCAAGGTAGAAGTAACAAAGAGGAAGAAGCATATCTATTCCAGATCACCAAGAGCTGAAGAAAATAAACTTAGGACTGCACACTCTAACCTTTTGAGTTTCAATCACTTACCAGCAACACATGTATATGTAATTATTATTGACCCCAGTGACTTTCCTGGCTAGTATATTATTTTAACATCAACATAAAGATTCTACTTTTAATTGGATATTCAATGGCATGGATTATAGCTACTGTAATGTTTTGACCAAGCCCCTTATAATTCATATTTGTTAATATCAAGTTAAAAATACTGTTAATGATAACATACTGGGGTGTATTTACCAATCAAATATAGACACTGCAGAAACACTAATTTCTTTTGATATTACCAGGAGCTATAATGAAGGAGGAAAGCAGTTTATGGCTGAAGGGGCATATTTTACTTGCAGATTTAACCCATAAAATGACAACATGGCATACTCATTTGTTTACACACAAGGTATAAAAACATACCTTGTGCAAAACCGCACTGCTGAATCATACCGTGCAGGAGATGCATAACTCATAAAGACAACAGTAAAAAGATGACGTTTAGTCACAAATGATTTGTCCTCACATGACAGAAACATCTAGGACTGGGAAATATCTCAATCACATTTCTCTAATTGTTTAGGCAAAGCACTGAAAATCTGTCTTTCAATAGTGTGAAAGGAGTACCTGATTATACATACATACTTTTTGGTCTTTTACTATTGAAAGTTCTATATAAAGGCTATGGGGTGGTCTAGGAAGTCATCCGTGTAACAGAAAAAGAGATCCAGATCCAAAGACACATGATTAAACCCAATGATTCATAACTATCCTTATGCTTTTTAGCAAAGATTTATAGCAAATTTACATTTCATTGCTTTTGTGTCCTACGGACATTTAAAATGAAAATATGTGAGGCTGGATGATAACTGGTCATTATGTGGAATAGGTGGGGGAAATGGGTAATACTAGTAACTTTGCAATTCATTTCAAATTGGAATTTCTATCAATGTAATCACGACCATTTCCCCCATATAATTTCAACTCCTCACTTTTAATGGGAAGATGAGTATTTCACATTAATTTTCAAAGTAAGGGAGAATGTAAGAGAAAAGGGAGGATGTAGGACTTCTATGTGAAATAAGGAATAATATGACCATATGAATAAGTGAGCATACAGGGCTGCTTCGACCAAGAGCACAGGTTCAATTTATTTACCTATTAATCAGTGCCACAGCAATACACTGGCCCCCCCCCCCACACCATTTATACCTATCAGAACAATTCCACTGGTCATAAAGTTAAGGAATAATAACTAAAACCACATAAGTGGTTATGAAAATGATTACACCAACAAAGCACTTTATAAGCTGTAACTTTCAAATATCTCCTCTATCACAAAATTCTACCACTGCAAGCACAGGGTTTTATGAGAAGACTCATCCCAATTTCCTGACTTTCTAATTCAGCCCAGTTCCCAGTGCACATATTCTCTTTACCTCCTTCCTGATATATAAGGAAAAAAATATTTAATGTGCACAGTGCATTAGTGTGCTTTCATCCACAGTGTATGTGCATGATTTTACTTGATTGTCACCCACCTATCAGAGATAAACGGTAATTATGTTTAGAAAGTGCCTAACACTAAACATTGAGCAGCAAGGAATGCAAAAATATCCCTCCCTCCACATGACACTGTAATCTTAGTACTGTAACTCAATAAGGAAAACTGATAATACAATTTAGTAAGTTTCACTGGGAGCTAAGTAGAACGTGCAGAGAATGATTCTGCCAAAGTTAACAGCAATGCCTCAAATAATGCTGTCAGGAATCCTAGCAAACAGACAAAAAGACTTGGTCTGTAGCCACCCAATACACGGATTGCTCTCCTTTCCTGTAACACTCCTCTAAGGAAAGTGATGTAACTTACCAGGAAAAGATCAGGCTGGGACAGTCAACCTAAACCAAAGAACGAACCAGTTCTGTCACACTTCTCAACAGTTATGCCACCACAACGGTAAAAGCCCCACAGCTTCTCCACCCCCAAAACAACCCAAGAACTTCAATCCTGCCAGTGGTGACCCAAAACCCGCACGTAAATCAACACTACTTCCAGCAGCAATGATTTGTAACGCTTTTTATTCTGTAACCAGCATCACCAGACCCCGTTCCGCCCCACACCTCTCCGAAAATCCCAGCATGAAAGTAAATCATCACTGATAGGCCTTCGAAGATAGAAAAGGGCCTGACTTGCTCCCAACAACGCAGACCAAGGACAGTCCCAAACCAAGACAAAAAGGCTCCCTGACCAGCCAACACCATTCCCTGCGCAGAGGCGCAGTCAGCCGGCCCGAGGTCACCACGGTCAGAGGGACCCTCCCAGCCCCCTGCAGGGCCACGATTCTAGGCCATCTTTACAAAGCTCACCGCCAAGGAGGGCTGGGAAACATCAGTGCTGATTCCCCACACCTAGTGCTCCAGCCCGATGACAGTATCAGGCTCTCTGCTACCTAACACCCCAGCCAGGGGAAAGCCCGGCACCTACACGGCGGCCGGAAAGGACGGCCCCGCCCCCGGGGACAGCATCGAGCTTCGCCCCACCACTCAGAGTCCCACGCGACCGCTCGCCGGTCGCCGCACCCGGGAGGGCGCCGGCGCCCCCTGCCAGGCGGGCAAAGGATACAGTCCCGGCTCCAGAACGCCGCCGCGCCCCGGCGGGAGGGGCTCGCCCCGTCCGCCATCTTGAAACAACCGCCACTCCGGGCGTCGCGCCGCGGCCGCCCCGCCCCGGCCTTCAGGCCCAGTCCCCATTGGCCGCACCGCGCAGAGGCCCGCCCCCGCTTGCGCGGCCGGCCCCCGCGGGGCGGTAGGGTCCCGGTAGAGGAGTCGCTGTGTCTCGGCTTCGTGGTGTGGAGCGACCGCCGAGGCAACGGGAACAAGTGTGCCGCGGAACTACTACTCCCAGAGCAGCCTGGGCCTTCCATCTCCGCCCCCCAGCGCTCTCAGGCGCCAAGCACTACAACTCCCGGCATGCCGTGAAATTGATGGCCGAGCCTCTGGGGCGGCGTTCCGCCCTCCCGCCCGCCCCGCTCTCCCGCTCCGTCCCCGCCGCTGCTCCCGCCGCGCGCGGAGCGGGGACACGAGCCATGGAGGAGACGCCGCCCCCGGGCTGCAGCAAGCCGCACCTGGAGAAGCTGACCCTGGGGATCACCCGCATCCTAGGTGAGGGGCGTGGGGAGCCGTGCGAGGCGACGGCGGAATGAGGGGATGTACGCTAGAAGCAAGATGGGGCATCGCTGCGGTGACTTACGTTGTTCAGAAGGAGAGGGCAGCCGGGTGCGTGACTAGGCCGGGGAGCGTTTGCGGGGAGTGTTCGGACGCAGAGCTGGGAAGCCCAAAGCTCCCCCCCCCCCCCCGCCAGTCCCACCCCAGGCCCCAGGAAAGACGCAAAGGTGAGCAAAAGGGAGACAGCAGGCACCTGACAGTGGGGACATTGGGTTTCCCGAGAGGCATTCTTGGCCAGTGGAGTATCCTTGAAACGCAACCCTTCCTCGGGTAGCAGAGAGCAGGGGAACGCTGCACGTAGCCTCCTAGGGCAACAGTTCTCACGCGCCTCTGGGTACCGCACCCTAAGTGGTTGGAAGGAGTCGAGGCTTGCGCCACTGAATGGGCTTTTCCTTTACTTAGCACTGTTGCTGCTGCTGTGTCACACTCGGGGGCTGCAGAGATGGGCTGGGGAACCAAAACACAGTTCTGTGAAAAAATCAGCAGCCTAGGTCCCTCCAGAAGTGCGAAAGGCGACCAGTAGTCCTGTATTATAGCTCTGAAATAGCACACAGGAGGAAGTGATTGACCTTCTCTGGGGAGTCAGGGAGTTAAGGTATATGTCCTACAGGAGGTGATGCTAGATTTTGAAAGACAAATTGAAGTTAGCCAGATAACCAAGGAAGAAAAAAAGTAGCCTAAGTGGGTGGCATGCTTTGATGCCTTCCTGTCACATTTATAATAAAATCCAAATTCTGTACCGTGACCCTTAAGTCCTATGATCTGCCCTCATCTGTCTTTCTGACCTATTTTTACCCTTTTTTTGGCCACGGTGGCCTCCTTGTACCATAAACTCACCAAGCTTGTTCCTGCTTCAAGGCCCTTCCTAGACTGGGGGGGGGGGGGGGGGGGGGGAATGTGGAGTTATCTTTCCCTCACTTCATTCAAATCTCTGATTAAATATCATTACCTCAGAGAGGCTTTACCTGACTATACTTCTAGTAACACCCTTCTCTATCATTATCTTCCCTTATCCTTTATATGTTTTTTGATCCTTATAGCTTTATCACTACTTGGAATTACTTATTTGGTTGCTTTTTTTTAATTTGCCTGTCTCTTCTGTAATAGAAGTCCATGAGTTTAGGAACTTTGTCTTGTTATCCCTTAGTATTCCCCAGTGTCTACAGTAAATGCTGCAGTAAATGAGGATGAAACACCATTATGTTTGGGAGAAATTATAAGCTTTAGAAATGAAGTTATAGGGTTGGGCAAGGAGAGATCTAATCATCAAGACCAACCATATCCTATCTCCTCATTAAAAAAGATATTTCTTTTGATTAATGTTTAATCTACTCAAGAGTGGCCAACCAAATTTCCCTTAAGCTGTCAGTTCAATTTAAAGACCTAAATAAATAACTGTAAATATTTTAAATTTCATTTATACATTTAATATATTCTATTTTTAAGCATTTCAGATATCTGGCAAACTGGTAACACAAGGCAAAACCTACCTAAGGAATTAGCTCTGATAGTTAAATTTATAGTGAAGCTGGCCTCATGTAAACATTCTAATACTATTTATAAATTTAATCAAAACCTCATAATTTCAAGTTAATAATAAGTCAAAAATCAATTATATTTTTATTTTTTCACATTTGTTTTTTGTTTTGAAAATACATAGAGAGAGAGGATTTTTAAAAACAAGGTGGCTGAGGTCGGTGGTGGGTGTGTAGTAAGCAAATTACCACACCAAAATCTTCTCTCTAAATGATGTGTGAAATAACTCCATAACTATGACAATTCTATTGAAAACCAAGCCCAGTACTACTTAAATACAGAGAATGCCAAAAGTGCAAAATAACTATGAGTAAAAAGAGAAAAAACTACAAATCCTAGCACTGTCCTTGCCCTACTCCTTCACTGCTAGAAGGCTCTGTGGCAAGCAAAGGCAGAGCCAGAAATGATGCCAGCAAAGAGGCTAGTTGAAGCAACAGAGAGTTTAAAACCCCAGTACAACAGTAACAACAACTGGGTAGATCAGAGCAGGGCTGCAGGAAAGTGACTTCAAAGTAGGTGCTATTTAAAGTGTTGGCCGTGCAATTTAAAGGGACATATGTTCCAGAGGAGAAAATGTGCAAAAAAGAAGGAAGAGTCCTTTGGCGATTGATGATAAAAGGGCAAAGAAAAAGGAAAGCTCACATCTCTCTCCCATTCCCAACAAGCCTGCTAAAATATCTGGACTTTGCTTCAACTGACTGGAAAGTCTTTCATTAAAGTAGACATCTTGTTAAACACCACAATTTCACAAAATGAACAAGAGCAAATAGAGAACTAATGCTAAAGTCAGGAAATGAAATGCTAAACAATCAACTGAGGAAAATTTTTTTATGATGATAAAGTGTTTCCTACTCAGTGGAGCAAGGAGTGGGGAAATGTTACATTTTGATAACAGATTATTAAATATAGTGTGTAAGATCTACCTGAGATACAACAAGATCAATTTCAGTTGACCTTTGAACAACACAGGTTTGAACTGTGGGTTCATTTATACATGGATTTTTTACAGTACAGTAGTATAAATGTATTTTCTCTTATGATTTTCTTAACATTTTCTTTTTTCTAGTTTATTGTAATACAGTATATAATACATATAACATACAAAATATGTGTTAATCAACTGTTTTATTATCAGTAAGGTTTCCCATAGTAGGCTATTGGTAAAGTTCTTGGAGAGTCAAAAGTTATACATGGATTTTCAACTTCATCAGGGTTGGTTCATAACCCCTAACCCCTGCATTAGTCAAAGTTCAACTGTGTAATATCTCTCTCCATCTTAGTCGTCTTCTTCTTTTTTTTTTTTTTTTGCAATTCTTGTTTTAAATCATTTTAATTTTTTCATCATGATAAGTGTATTCTTTAATCCTCATCCTCTATTTCACCCATTACCCCACCCACCTCCCCTCTGGTAACCATCATTTCTCTATAGTTAAGAGTCTGTTTCTTGGTTTGTCTTTATTTCTTTCCTTCACTCATTTGTTTCTAAATTCTACATATGAGTGAGATCATATGGTATTTGTCTTTCTCTGACTGATTTCACTTAGAATGGTACTCTCTAGCTCTGTCCATGTTGTTGAAAATGGCCAGATTTCATTTTTAATGGTTGAATAATATTCCATTATATATGTATACCACATCTTTATCCATTCATCAGTCAGTGGATGCTTGGGCTGCTTCCATAGTTTAGCTGTTGTAAATAATGCTGCAGTAAACATAGGAGTGCATGTGTCCGTTTGAATTAGTGTTTTTGTATTCTTTGGGTAAATACCCAGTAGTGTGATTACTGTATCATAGGGTAGTTCTATTTTTAATTTTTTGAGAAACCTCCACACTGTTTTCCACAGTGTCTGCACCAGTTTACATTCCCACCAGCAGTGCAAGAGGGTTCCTTTTTCTTCACATCCTCATCAACACTTGTTGTTTGTGTTTTTGATTTTAGCCGTTGTGACAGGAGTGAGGTGATATCTCATTGTAATTTTGATTTGCATTTCCCTGATGATAAGTGATGATGAGCATCTTTTCATGTGTCTGTTAGCTATCTGTATGTCTTCTTTGGAGAAATGCCTCTTCATGTCTTCTGCCCATTTTATAATTGGATTATCTGGTTTTTTGGGTGTTGAGTTTTATAAGACGTCTGCCTTCGGCTCAGGTCCTGATCCCAGGGTCCTGGGATCAAGTCCCACATCGAGCTCCTTGCTCAGCGGGGAGCCTGCTTCTCCCTCTGCCTGCCACTCCCCCTGCTTGTGCTCTCTCTCTCACAAATAAATAAAATCTTTAAAACTTAAATGTGGAAATTCAGGTACGAGAGGGGAAAAGCAGGGTCAGTCAAGCCATCAGTTCCCCTGGTTACCCAGGGCTTTTAAAAAGGGGAACTTCACCGGTGGGGTGCCCTGGTTCCTAGTTGTTTAGCTAGTAGCTGTGTCATACAGCTGGCAATTTGTTTATTTAAGATGGATGTATTTGAAATGGAAGGGTTGGCAATCAAAAGGTTCATGTCAGGTACTTATATTAAGTGTGTGGCCTCCAGCAAAGCTAGACACTAGACTGCCCTGTGGGTATAGTCAGATGTCATCATTATGCAACCAGCTGGATTGTTAACAAAGAATTCTGTGTTGTTCTGTCCTACAAAAGTTGGAATAATAGGATGCTAAGACTGATTGAAGCTAAGCTCTGTATTTGCATAGGATAATTGCTAAAGGGCTTTGCTGAGGGGGACACGAAGACTTGCACATAAACTCTTAACTAGACCCATACTTGGAGTAAGCCTAGCTACTTGGAGTGTCCTAGCCTCTTAGCCTCAATGTCCTTGCTATAAAATGTAAATAATAACATTTATTATTCACTGTCTTAGCTTTGGTGGTACATTGCCAAATGGGACCACCCTTGAAGGGACAGACAGGTCTTCCATCCTAACTAGTCAAGGGCATAGCAAGGACTTAGCCCAGGTCTAAGGGCTTGAAGCTCATGGTGTTTTTCCACCGTAGTACCATGGTTCCCAATGTCTTAGAAAGGACATTAAAAAGAAGGCAGAGAAAAAAAATGTGTATATGGTACTTTTTGCTTTTCCAGAGCACCTTTACCTTTGCTTCTTCTGCTTCCCTTATCAAGGCAAATATTATTATAAATATTGTCGTCTCTCTGAATGCTAAGGAACATGAAGACTCATATAAGGTCCCACAACTAGTGAATGCTTAAAGCAAGAGTAGAATATGTGGAGTCCAGAATTCTTAGCCTGCTATATTGGGTTGTTGCTGCATCTCAGGATCTGAACTTTGTGATAACCTGGAGGAAACTTTATGATGCATAAAAAGGACACTAACATGATTACAGAATCAGTGAACCACATTGTGATGTTCTGATTTATAAGAAATATATATTTGCTCACTCAGATGACAGCTGATCCTTGAACAAAGCAGGATTAGGGCTGTTGATAGCCCCCCCCAAAACAGTACAGTAGAGAATCTGTATATAACTTTTAACTGCCCCGAAATTTAACTAATAGCCTACAGTCGACCAGAAACCTTACCGATAACAGTTGATTAACACGTTTTTTCTATGTTGTATGTATCCTGTATTCTCATAATAAAATAGAGAAAAACGTTATTAAAATCATAAGGAAAAAATACATTTACAGTACTGTATTTATTGAAAAAAATAGGTGTTCCAGTGTACCCATGCAGTTCAAACCCATGTTGTTCAAGGGTCAACTGTGTATTTTTTCTTAGTCCACAGTTCCTGGCTTACAGCTCCCAAAACCCTTGGAATTTCCCAAGTGTTGAGAGTGGTAAAGATTTTTCATTATGTTAATGAGGTGACTTTTGGAAAGCACTTAAGGATGAGGACTGGTTGCCAGTGGATCCAATCATATGATTAGAGGGTTGGTACTTTTAGTCCCATTCCCTGACCTTTAGGAAAGGAAGAGGGTCAGAAGGGTGAATCAGTCCTCAACGACTAATGATTTAATCAACCGTGCCTATGTAATGAAGCCTCCATAAAAACCCAGAAACTTCCAGGTTGGTGAACACATGGAGATGTGGGGAGAATAGCCTTCCTGGAGAGAGCATGGAAACTCCACACCCCTTCCCATATACCTTGTCCTAAGTATCTCTGCCATCTGGCTGTTCCTAGGTTATATTCTTTTATAATAAGCCAGTAATCTAGTAAGTAAAATGTTTCTCTGAATTCTGTGAGCCACCCTGGCAAATTAATGGAACCTGAGGAGGGGGTCTTAGGAACCTCTGATTTATAACCAGTCAGTCAGAAGTACAGGTGACAGCTGGGCTTTGACTGCTGTCTGAAGTACAAGGAGAGGGGGTCTTGAGAACCCCCAATCTGTAGCAGGTCAGTCAGGAAGCACAGGTGAAAACCTGAACTCGTATCTGGTGTCTGAAGTGGGGAGGGTGGCAGTCTTACAGACTGAGCCCATAACCTATGGTATCTGATGCTGTCTCCTTGTAGAACACCAGGATATCCAAGAATTGCTTGTTGGTATGAGGAAACCTCCCCACAAAAATGTTGGAGGGGTTGGGTCCAGGAACCATTTATACATTAAACTGGATTAGAAGTCTCTGCCTTAGCCTTAGAGATTTTAAAAATTCTTTTCAATACATTCCCTGTTTACAGTATTTACTTATAGTAAATAACCAAAATATGGTTCAAAATAGAATATAATTAAGTATAAGCAAATGTGCATGCTCTCTCTTTCTCTCTCCCTCTCTCCCTCCCTCCCTCTCAAATAAATAAAATCTTTTTTAAAAAAGGAGTGGGGAGAGGCACCTGGGTGGCTCAGTTGGGTTAAGCGTCTGCCTTAGGCTCAGGTCATGCTCCCACAGTCCTGGGATCGAGCCCCACATCAGGCTCCCTGCTCAGCGGGGAGTCTGCTTCTCCCTCTGCCCCTCCCCCTGCTTGTGCACTTGCACACACTCTCTCTCTCTCAAATAAATAAAATCTTTAAAAAAAAAAAAAGTATAAACCTATGTGGGCCCAACACTGCATGTGATGGGTTTGGATATTGGCAAAAGCAGAGATCATGGTGAACTAGAGTCATCTGAAATGGTTTCATGGAGGATGTGGAGCTTTAGCTTAGCCTTGAAGTGTGGGTAGGACTTGGGTAGGTGGACACATTTGGGTGTGTATAATGGGAAAGGGATACAGCATAATTAAAGATAAGTACAGATTTAGCTTTGGGGCCGGGGAGCACAGGGGTGGAGACAATGAGAAAACTGACACACCTGGAACAGGGTTTGGACTATAGGGTGGAAGAAGTTAAGACCAGACAGAGAAGGGCCTTATCCTCCAGACTACAAGGAGAACCCAATAGATCAGATAGGAAACAAGCCTAGGTATGAAGAAAGTCCTCTGCTGGTATGCTGAGGATGGATCAGAGCACAGAGTTTGTGGCTTTGATTGCATCTGCACTTGCAGTGACCATGGCCTAAAACAGTGGTGACAATGGGAATAATCTATGCAATATCACAAAGAGAAAAGTGGATAGGCTTTGTGTTAGTTCGCTAGGGCTGCCATAGAATGTACCACAAACCAGGTGGCTTAGAACAACAGATTTATTCTCACAGTCCTAGAGGCTGAAGGCCTGAAACCAAAGGCTTGGCAGTGTCACTCTCATTCTGAAACCTGGAAGGGAAGAACCTGCCTTGCCTCTTTTCTAACTTCTGGTGGTTTGCCAGCAATCTTTAACATTCCTAGTATTTCAGATATACCACTCCATTTCTCCATCTTCATGTGACCCTCTTCCTTCTGTCTCTTCACAAAGCATTCTTTTTATAAGTATACCAGTCATATTGGATTTGGGGTCCGCCCTACTCCACTGTGACCTCATCTTAGCTAATTACATATTCAGTGACCTTATTTCCAAATCAAGTTCTATTCTGAGGAACTGGCAGTAAGGACTTCAACATATATTTTTTGTGAGGGACACAATTCAACCCATAGCAGATTTTGTGTCTTAGATTAAGGATTTCAAGGTCCTGAGTGTGGGTAAACAGACAAGTAGAGAATGTAGGAGGAGGTATTAAAGTCTGTTGAATTCCAAGTCAGGTGGCTTCTTTTTTACTTCAGAATGAATGCTAGAACATAGCTCCACGAAGAGATTATTTGGAGACCTTTTCCTGCTTTCAAGATTTAGAGATATGATTTATTTTGTTTTCAGTATATTTCTGGATGGAATCCATTTTTCATAGTGTTAGCCTAAACTACTCAATCTGGGATCTCATAGAGTACAGATGGGTTTTATTTAGAAGAAAAACTAGCAAACAAGTTTTGTATCTTGTAAAAGTTTATTGAGGTGCTATTCTTTATTCCTTTTGACCATGTTATAAGTGAGAAGTTGAGGTATGAAATCACTAGGAATGTAGAATCTCTGATTTTTGTTCAGCAACTGAAGTACTGAGCAGTGACTGTGTGTAGTGGGTGTTCTGATGATGTCCTTTCTACCAGGTTGATTGCATGGTCCTAGGTTGTGGGACTGAGTGCCTTTGAAGGACTGACCAGTTCTTCCTGTTTTTATCACAGTACGGGTAATAAATGCTGCTCAGAGGAATCTGATATTCCTAGGTACTCATCAACAGTCAGCCTCTAGTATTGAAATATGTGAGAGCAGGCCCATTGCAACTCTACAGACTCTCTTTTCCTCTTCCAGAATCTTCCCCAGGTGTGACAGAGGTGACTATCATAGAGAAACCACCTGCTGAACGTCATATGATTTCTTCATGGGAACAAGTAAGTGTTGCCCTTTTGAATCCTCACATCCCCACAAAGAGAGGTCAACTCCAATGGCCCTAAGAAGGAAAAATTAGGGCAGGAAACATGTCCTTACCTCAGGCCACAGCTGCCTTCTGGGTAGAGTTCACCCTTCTCTCTCTTTCTATTCAGGCCACTTAACTTCCCTGCAATTCCATACCATTTCCCCAGCCTGGAGCATCTCCTCTGAGCTCCACTATCATTTGGAGGCAGTGGAACATTCAAAGTTGTATACAACAGAGCTAAAAATCCAGCAAGGAAGGAAAAATTAAATATTAATAAGCATGCTGGGCAGAATGTGGTTAAGTGTTACAGAGAAGTACTAACCAGATTAATAGCTACTGCTTCCCCAACCCTCCTCTGAAATTGTATTTATTCAGTACAAGTTGTAAGCTCCTAAAATGGAACCAGGCATTGTGCTTGGTGTTGATTCCTGGAGATTCAGTGGTAATCAAAAAACAGTTCCTTACCTCTTAATGTTACATTACTGTCTAAGATAATAGTGTAGATCTTTATGAGTATAATTACCAAGCAGATTTAGCACTGTGAAAGAGAGAGGCAAATGGAGCATTGTCAGGAGGCTTGACCTAGTCTGGAGGTTAAGAAAGGTTTTTCCCAAAGAAGTTAGGAGAACTTGTTAACCAGATAGTTGGGATCTGGGAAGAAGGGGCTTTCAACCTGTGTGAAGGCTTTGAAATGGGAAAGATTAAATTTTCCAAGAGCATAAAGCAGGTCCCTGTGGCTGGTGCACAGGAGAGCGAGAGAGAGGTTGGCAAGGATCAGCACATGTAGGCTTCTTAGATGGTCGGGAGTTTGCTCTTTTTTTTTTTTTTGGAGTGGGTAGGCAGAGGGAGAGAGAATCTTAAGTATGTGGGGCTTGATCTCACAACCCTGAGTTCATGACTTGAGCCGAGATCAAGAGTTGGACGCTTAACTGACTGAGCCACCCAGCTGCCCCTAAGCTTTTAGTTTAATTCCAGTTAGTTAACATACAGTGTTATGTTAGTTTCAAGTGTACAATATAGTAATTTAACACTTTCATACATTACCCTGTGCTCATCACAAGTGCACTCCTTAATCCCCATCACCTATTTAACCCACCCCTCCCCCCTTCCCCTCTGGTAACCATCAGTTTTTTCTCTATAATTAAGGGTCTGTTTCTTGATTTGTCTCTATATTTTCTTCCCCCTTTGATCATTTGTTTTGTTTCTTAAATTCCACATATGAATGAAATCGTATGGTATTTGTCTTTCTCTGACTTACTTCACTTAGCATAATACACGCTAACCCCATCCATGTCCTTGGAAATGGGAAGATTTCATTCTTTTCTATGGCTGAGTAATATTCCATTGTATAAATACATATATATGCCACATCTTGTTTGTCCATTCATCTATAGATGGAAACTTGGGCTGCTTCCGTATCTTGGCTATTGTAAATAATGCTGTTATATAAATGAGGGGGTGCATGTATCCCTTTGAATCACTGTTTTTGTATTCTTTGTGTAGATACCCAATAGTGCGATTGCTGGATTGTAGGCTAGTTCTATTTTTATCTTTTTGAGGAACCTCCGTACTGTTTTCCACAGTGGATGCACTGGTTTACATTCCCACCAACAGTGCAAGGGGGTTCCTTTTTCTCCATATCCTTACCAAACAGTACCACCTGTTGTTTCTGTGTTGCTGATTTTAGCCATTCTGACAGGTGTGAGGATATCTCATTGTAGTTTTGATTTGCATTTCCCTGATGATAAGTGATGATGAGCATCTTTTCACGTGTCTGTTGGCCACCTGTATGTTTTCTTTGGAGAAATGTCTTCTGCCCATTTTATAATTGTATTATTTGATTTTGGGGTGTTGAGTTTGATAAATGCTTTCTATATTTGGGATACTAATCCTTTATTAGATATGTCATTTGCAAATACTTTCTCCCATTCTGTAGGTTGGCTTTTAGTTTTGTTGTTTCCTTTGCTGTGCAGAAGTTTTTTATTTTTATGTAGTCCCAAAAGTTTATTTTTGCTTTTATTTCCCTTGCCTCAGGAGACATATCTAGAAGAAAGTTGATTTGGCTGATGTCAAAGAAGTTACTGCCTGTGTTCTTTTCTAGGATTTTTATAGCTTCAGGTCTCACATTTAGGTCCTTAGTCCATTTTGAATTTATTTTTGTGTATGGTGTAAGAAAGTGGTCCAGTTTTTTTCTTTTGCATGTCGCTGTCCAGTTTTCCCAACACCATTTGTTGAAGAGACTATCTTTTTCGCATTGGATGTTATTTCCTGTTTTGTCAAAGATTGACCTTATAGTTGTGGGTTTATTTCTGGGTTTTCTATCCTGTTCTATTGATCTCTGTGTCTTTTTGTGTGCCAGTACCATACTGTTTTTGATTACTACAGCTTAAAGTCCAGAATTGTGATGCCTCCAGCTTTGCTTTTCTTTTTCAAAACTGCTTTGGTCATTTGGGGTCTTTTGTGGTACTGTACAAATTGTTTGTTCCAGTTCTGTGAAAAATACTGTTGGTATTTTGATCAGGATTGCATTAAATGTGTAGATTGCTTTGGGTAGTATGGATATTTTTAACAATATTTGTTCCTCCAATCCATGAGCATGGAATGTTTTTCCATTTTTTTGGTTGTCTTCAATTTCTTCCATCAGTGTTTTTGTTTTTGTTTTTGTTTTTAAAGAGAGAGAGAGAGTGAGAGCCTGTGAGCAGGGGGAGGGACAGCGGGAGAGGGAGAATCCTCAAGCCAACTCCCTGCTGGGCACAGAGTCCTATTCGGGGCTTAATCCCAAGACCCTGAGATCATGCCTGGGGCTGAAATCAAGAGTCAGATGCTCAACCGACCAAGCCACCCAGGCACCCTTCTTTCATCAGTGTTATAGTTTTCAGTGTACTGGTTTTTAAGGCTAGGTTTATTCCTAGGTATCTTACTATTTTTGGTGCAATTGGAAACAGGATTGTTTTCTTAATTTCTCTTTCTACTGCTTCATTATTGGTGTTTAGAAATGCAGCAGAATTCTCTACATTGATTTTGTATTCTGTGACATTACTGATTTCATTTATCAGTTCTAGAAGTTTTTTGGGGAGTCTTTTAGGTTTTTTATTTGAAGTATCCTGTTACCTGCAAATAGTGAAAGTTTGACTTTTTCCTTACCGATTTGGATGCCTTTTGTTTCCTTTCGCTATCTGATTGCTGAGGCTAGGACTTCCAGTACTGTGTTGAATAAAAGTGGTGAGAGTGGACATCATTGTCTTGTTGCTGACCTTAGGGGAAAGCTCTGTTTTTTTCCCCATTAAGAATCATGTTAGCTGTGAGTTTCTCATATATAGCCTTTATTATGTGGAGGTATATACTCTCTAAACCTACTTTGTTGAGGATTTTTATCATGAATGGATGTTGTTGTGCTTTGTCAGATGCTTTATCTGCATCTATTGAAATAATCATATGGTTCTTATCCTTTCTGTTATTAATGTGATGTATCACATTGATTGATTTGAGAATATTAAACCACCTTTTAGCCCAGGAATAAATCCCACTTGATCGTGGGATTTTTTTAATGTATTGTTGGATTTGCTAGTATTTTGTTGAGGATTTTTGCGTCTATATTCATCAGGGATATTGGCCTGTATGTCTGTTTTTTAGTGATGTCTTTATCTGGTTTTGGTATCAGGGTACTGCTGGCCTTAAGGAATGAATTTGGAAGTTTTCCTTCCTCTTCTATTGTTTAAGAAGAATAAGTATTAACTCTTTAAATGTTTGGTAGAATTCACCTGTGAAACCCTCTGGTCCTGGACTTCTGATTTTTGGGACTGTTTTAGCATTCAGTTTCTTTGCTCTTTATTGGTCTGTTCAGATTTTCTATTTCTTCCTGTTTCAGTTTTAGGAGTTTATATGTTCTAGGAATGTATCCATTTCTTCTAGGTTGTCCAATTTGTTGGCATATAGGTTTTCATAATATTCTCTTATGATTGTATTTCTGTAGTGTTGTTATTTCTTCTCTATCATTTTTTATTTATTTGAGTTCTTTTTCTTTTTTACCTGATAAGTCTGGCCAGAGGCTTGTCATTTTATTGATTTTTTTTTCAAAGAATCAGCTCCTGGTTTTATTGATCTGCTTTATTTTTTTAGTGTCTATGTCATTTATTTCTGCTCTAGGCTTTATTATTTCCTTCCTTCTGCTTTTAGGCTTTGTTTGTTGTTTTTTTCCTAGCTCCTTTAGGTGTAAGGTTAGGTTGTTTATTTGAGATTTTTCTTGCTTCTTGAGGTAGGCCTGTTTGGCTATAAACTTCCCTCTTAGAACCACTTTTGCTGTATCCCAGAGATTCTGGACCATCGTATTTTCATTTTCATTTGTTTCCTTGTACTTTTTTATTTCTTGTTTGATTTCCTGGTTGACCCATTCATTGTTTAATAGCATGTTATTTAACCTCCATGTATGTGTGGTCCTTCCAGATTTTTTCTTGTGGTTGACTTCTAGTTTCATAGCATTGTGGTCAGAGATATGCATGGTATGATTTCGATCTTTTTTTTTTTAATATTTTATTTATTTGAGAGAGGAGAGAGAGAGAAAGTGAGCACAAGCAGGGGTGGGGAGGGCAGAGGAGAGGGAGCCCACCCTGCAGGGCTCAATCTCAGGACCCTGAGATCATGACCTAAGCCGAAGGTAGACACTTAATTGACTGAGCCACCCACGCGAAGATTTTGATCTTCTTGAATTTGCTGAGGTTTGTTTTGGGGGCTAATATGTGATCTGTTCTGGAGAATGTTCTGTGTGCACTTGAAAAGAATGTATATTCTGCTGTTTTAGAATGGAACGTTCTGAATATATCTGTTAAATCCATCTGTTTCAGTGTGTCATTCAAAGCCACTGTTTCCTTGTTGATTTTCTGTTTAGATGATCTGTCCATTGATGTAAGTAAGGTGTTAAAGTCCCCTACTATTATTATATTATTCAATTGGTTACTTTATGTTTGTTAATGTTTT